CATCAAGGAGCAGGCTTAAACATGTTTAAGAGAGGCGAGTTGGAAACATATGTTTGTTCATTCAGCAGTGCAACGTTACCGTTATTATTTTTTTAATATCTCTAACAGTTCCAGCACACACAGTCGTAGCCCTTTATTACAAGTATGTAAGACTTTAAAGGAGTGGTCATTGGCTAGGCTGTGTCTAGTCTCCAAGAGATGTTTAGCAAAATGTGATTTATCGGGGTTACAATTCCTGTACGCGGCTAAATGCTCTTTATATCGTGTTTTGAAGTTGCGATCAGTCTGACCCACGTAAACGGCTTGGCATTCGTCACAAACAAGTTTATAAACACCAGACTTTAGACGAATATCTAACTTATCCCGGGGAAACAAATGATCTTCTAAAGTTAACCTCTCTGTGTATGAAAGAAAACTATTTCCGGTTTAATAACCACTTCGTTCTACAAAAAGAAGGGCTAGCCATGGGTTCCCCTCTTAGTCCTCTCATGGCGGACATTTTTATAGATAATTTTGAAAAACAACACATAGTTGTCATTCAAAATATCTTATACTATTATCGATATGTAGACGACATAATTATTTGCTGGACTGGCACAAAGCGGCAACTGGATGTTTTCCTTAATAAAATTAATAAAATCCATGACAAAATTAAATTTAAGCTTTTTCTTGCTTTTAAATTATCCATAAAAATGTCCGCCATGAGAGGACTAAGAGGGGAACCCATGGCTAGCCCTTCTTTTTGTAGATAGAAGTGGTTATTAAACCGGAAATAGTTTTCTTTCATACACAGAGAGGTTAACTTTAGAAGATCATTTGTTTCCCCGGGATAAGTTAGATATTCGTCTAAAGTCTGGTGTTTATAAACTTGTTTGTGACGAATGCCAAGCCGTTTACGTGGGTCAGACTGGTCGCAACTTCTAAACACAATATAAAGAGCATTTAGCCGCGTACAGGAATTGTAACCCCGATAAATCACATTTTGCTAAACATCTCTTAGAGACTGGACACAGCCTAGCCAATGACCACTCCTTTAAAGTCTTACATACTTGTAATAAAGTGCTACGACTGTGTGTGCTGGAACTGTTAGAGATATTAAAAAAATAATAACGGTAACGTTGCACTGCTGAATGAACAAACAAATGTTTCCAACTCGCCTCTCTTAAACATGTTTAAGCCTGCTCCTTGATGATATATAGCCACGCAACATGGTCGTTTGTCACCCTCACGGTGCGGTAGTCAGCATTTGGTTGCGTGGTTGTAGGGTAGGCGGACGTTTCGCAGTAGTTTGTTGTTAATTTCACAGCAAATATCAGCGTACGTCAGGCGGTGATTGATCGCATAACGTAATCGCTCGCTACGTAATTGGAGCGTGGTTGCGTCAGCAAGTAGTATAAATAGCAGTGGTTTTGGCTCGCCGCTCACTTAGCGGCCAGTCTCCGCAGAGTCGACTTCACCTGAGGATGCCTCGTGTAGAGGCGAAACACGTGTCGTATTTTCGGGAGTGGTGTGTCGTGCCTAGTGTGGTGGTGCTGGGGGTGGTAGTGCTGGCAATAACGGCGACGGGTATAGTGCGCGCGATTGAGGGAGGGTGGGAGGTCCCCTTAAGACTGGGCAGGACACATAATTTTCTTTCTTTACGCGGAATTAAGCAAATTAGTTTATAACAACCCCATGAAGTCACTTTTGTAAAAAAATCAACACTTACACCCATAAAAAGTTACTTGCTAATTGAGAACATATTTTATTGTGTTCACAATAAACTTAATATATCACACTCACACACAATATACACACAACTTAATAAAAACCCAGAAAATAAACAAAACCTGCTCAAAGTTCAAAAATTTAATACACTAAGTTTGTATAAAAAGGGTTATTATAATATTAAGGAATTAATAGACGATAATAACCCCTGGGAATGAGGTGATCACTAACAAGCTATTTCTAGTTTGTTTTGTGTTCTTAATTGTGTTACATACATGATTGTAAGCAGTGGCGTAGCTAGGCGTGGGCGAAGTGGGCCCTAGACTACGGCTTTGCACTTAAAGGGGCCTCGCGAGACCAAAAATGCAATGCCGTCGACTTTAACACAGATGACTAATTAATTTGATCACTATTACGCTCGAAAAAGAAAGTCACAAATTAAAGTGTGTTTGTTTGGGGCTTCAAAGACCGCGACTGTTTCATTGACGGAATACGAGACTTGTCAGGAATTAATAGATATGAGTAGGTATGTCGTGTCAAAGCATGTTTGGTAGGATAGTTCTATTGGGTAGATCCTTGGAACGAAAGAAAAGGGTCCTCGCTGATGCAACTTCGCCCACGTTTATTTTAGTCCACGCTACGCCTCTGACTGTAAGCTGTTATTTTAAAAAGTCCCGCTGGGTTTCTTGCTGGTTTTTCCAAGGACAGAAGTTTTTTTTGCGAACCAGTGGTAATTAAACAAAAGAGTGACTTTCAGTAAGTATTATTTATAATCTCTATATTGAATAAAAAAGTTTGTTTCTGTTTATAAAATTATACAATTATGATTAATACACGAGTCACGAACTCATCGGAACGACGCACAATAATCCACGAACACAGTTTTGGCGCCACAGAAGGTACGGCAGATTTTTTGCCGAAACCGAAACTATTACCGAAACTAGACATTTTTGCCAAAACTTGCCGAAACCGAAACCGAATATTCGGTCGGTCACAAAAAAAAAGTGCTGGTAGGTTTTCACGGCACAGTTCTTTGAACAATGTCATCCGAAGAGCTATTGTCTCTATAAATGTTCCCTCGATTTTAGAGCCTTGTGGCATATTTAGAGACGATGGCTGTTTATTTTTTTATTAGTTTTTTTATTAGTATTAATAATCTTTATATATAAAAATTACGTGTCACATTGTATTTCCGCGATGGACTCCTTAACTACTGAACTGATTTCAATGAAATTTTACACACTGTATGCATTATGGTCCAACTTGAGAGATAGGATACTTTTTATCCCGATAAGTGACTTTCAATATTTTTTAAGAATTTAAGAATTTTTTCATAGGAAGGGTCGTCGGAAAGGGCAGAACAACGTCTGCCTGGCCAGCTAGTAATAAATATAAAATTTGTACCATGTGCACTGACCTCTACTTGTATATATAGAGGTCAGTGACCATGTGTATTTCATGGACGTTGCATGTTTTTACAAAATAGTTATAGAAAGCCAAAATGGGCCAAAAAGATCAGGTTTAAAAAAAGACACCTCATACTTTTCCTTGATGAAATAATTTCTTTATAATAAAATATATAAATAAATAAATACAAATCGGGGTGATTGACAGCCTATGTTTTGGCAAGGCTATTTTTAATTAAAAATAAACTTATGTTCTCTATTACTATTACACAGAAAACTGAACGAGCGCCTTTCTCTTTTCCGGCAAGCGTCTTACGCTCAGCTGCTAACGTAGGCATAGACTTAGGATATACTGGGGTATATCCTAAGTCTATGAACGTAGGTACATCCTTCCCTACTTCACATATATATTATATAATAATATACTATTCAATAATATTGAAACGTTAAATCGTGTCAATCACTAGTCTTGCCACTATTTGAAAAGTCAACCATACACCATTGGATTCGCAACAAAAATATCTATTAACATATTTACACATTTAAGTTTTTAGGGAAAAGAATGGTAGACAGGATTGTCGCATAGAAAAAGGCGCTTAGTCAATCATGGTGTATTTTCTATATATATTTTTTTTTTCGATTGAAACCAATTTTATCAAGGAAAAATGACGGTAACAGGTAAAAAATTAAACAATTTTTAATTAAAAATAGCCTTGCCAAAACATTGGCTGTCAATCACCTCGATTTGTATTATTTATATAATTATTTAAAAAATTCACCAAGGAACGGAATGTGGGTATTATTTTAAGCTGGATCCTCTATATCATTTGATAACTAAATTAGTACGTTCAGAAGAGGGATTGGGGATAGCAAGCCGCACGGAAAACTGAGGCGAAATTTTAAATATGGTGGCACGCATATAAGGTTTAAAGGGATGATTTACACATGGTCAGTAACAGGCGCCAGTGCCGGCGTCGAAGACTGACTCGCAATGTTTATATGCAGTCAATAGTCCTGCTAACTTCTTGAGGATGTACGCACGTTATTGAAGTCAGTGAGCAAAAATGAATTTATGGAAACGGTAGAATATACAACGATTGAAATTAGAACGATTGAATTATAAACGCGGAACGCTTGAACGTGTGAACGCCTTCTGTTATAGATCCTTAAAACCTAAAGTTAGTTAGTCCTTAAAACCTTTGAAAATTAAAACAAGACGTTAATATGTTTCAACCATTTTTAAATTTTCGTCTGTGTGTATCGATGTCCAAGCTCAACTACGAACATGCAAAATTGACAAGCGAGCACACCATAACGAAAATCGCGAAATAAATTATCAAAGATTTAGTACAGGTAAATAGTATACTCAAAACAATAAAGAATGTATTCTTATGAACGTGAGGAGACTAGGGTTGCTTTCTCATTGAGCTATATCGTTAAACTCGCCAGCTATTGTCATACAACAATTAGAAACGCGACTAGTGACTTGACTACTTGATGTGTCTTTTCATGCGCCATGATAAATTTGTCTTTGTAACAATGCTATACAAATGCAGTTACCTTTACAAATAATTTAAAATTAAAATTTTTTTACAACCGACTTCAATATAAATTATTAAGAATAACTCAAAAACTATTGATCAGACATTGATCAAATTTATATGGGACCACACGAGAAGCACCAGCTTTCAAATAAAGAAAGAACTATCGAAATAAGCCACCCAGTAAAAAATTATGAGGTAACAAAAAAATACATACAGTCGAATTGAGTGCCATCTTTTTGAAGTCGGTAGAAAAATAAAATTGTTTCAAATAAATACTACAAAATGCATGGGATACCATTTATTACACCAACAGGGACATACACAAGGCAACGCCAAAATTATTCTATTCTTCCTCCAATCCTTCGCACTCCGCTTCCTCATCAAACTCGCCTTCATCGTCTGCCGTAGCATCCTGGTATTGCTGGTACTCTGATATCAAATCGTTCATATTACTTTCCGCTTCTGTGAACTCCATCTCGTCCATGCCTTCGCCAGTGTACCAATGAAGGAACGCTTTCCGCCTAAACATAGCTACAAATTGTTCCCCGACCCTCTTGAATATGCTCTGTATGGCTGTGGTATTTCCTATGAATGTAGACGCCATTTTCAATCCTCGAGGAGGTATATCGCATACTGCAATCTTTACATTGTTCGGGATCCATTCGACAAAGTACGTGCTGTTTTTATTCTGTATATTTAACAACTGTTCGTCAACTTCCTTCATCGACATTCGCCCTCGGAATATCGTGGCCACAGTCAAGTACCGGCCGTGTCGAGGGTCACAAGCGACCATCATGTTCTTAGCGTCGAACATCTGCAACGTCAACTCGGGGACAGTCAGAGCTCTATACTGTTGGGCGCCTCTCGAGGTAAGCGGCGCGAATCCGGGCGTGTAGAAATGGAGGCGTGGGAATGGCACCATATTCACTGCCAGTTTACGTAGATCCGCGTTCAATTGCCCGGGGAAACGCAAGCATGTCGTGATACCAGACATCGTCGCGCAGATCAAATGATTTAAGTCGCCGTATGTGGGCGTGGTCAGTTTCAAAGTCCTAAAGCAAATATCGTATAGGGCCTCGTTGTCCAAGCAAAACGTATGGTCGGTGTTTTCCACCAGCTGGTTCACCGCCAATGTAGTGTTATACGGCTCTACAACACAGTCCGATACTCGTGCGCTGGGGAATACAGAAAATGATAGGATTATCCGATCGGGATATTCTTCACGGATTTTGTTGACCAGGAGTGTGCCGAGGCCGGATCCCGTGCCGCCTCCAAGCGAATGTGACATTTGGAAGCCTTGTAAACAATCACAACCCTCAGCTTCTCGTCTGATGACATCCAAAGCAGATTCCAAAATCTCTACACCTTCAGTGTAGAAACCTCTAGCCCAGTTGTTAGCGGCCCCGTTCTGTCCGTACACAAAATTGTCGGGTCGGTACAGGCAGCCGAAGGGGCCAGAGCGTACCGCGTCCATGGTGGCAGGCTTGAGATCGACAAGCACCGTCCTTGGCACGTATTTACCACCCGATGCCTCATTATAGTAAACATTGATACGTTCTAGCTGAAGGTCGGAGTCACCGTGGTAGCAGCCGCTGGGATCGATGCCGTGCTCATCGGATATCACCTCCCAGAACTGAAACAATATGCAAAGATTAATAAAAAAAAACAACATAATTCCAGCCGAGTGGCGCAGTGGCATAGCAATGAGTTACGGCACTGAGGGCCTCCTGTTCGAATTCCACACGGACAAGTAATTGTAATTTTTTCCGGGTCTAGATGTTTGTCCTTAAATTTATGTATGTAAACTGCCTCTACGATACAGGAGAAAATCCTAGTGGAGGTAACGTTACAAATAAAAAGAAAAAACCTGTTACTCGTATTATTTCTTCACCTCGGAGGTTTGCTTTAATCATCATGCTCGGCAAGCAAATTGATAATCGCTGTACCAGAAGTGTGGTGTGTTGTGTCTCTGGAGTGGGTATTTTACGTCTTGCGTTAAAAAGCTATAAGAAGCCATAAAATCTTTCCATATCCTTAACACCCACGGAAGGAAAGTGTGACGGATATTCTTACACGGCCTCCACAGGGTTATTGTTTCGGTTTATTAAATCTACTACTGACCATAAGCCTTCATATAGAATGACTAGTAATATTAACTTAATATTAGTTGCCACGCTTGACACAAGATTATATATTTTATTAGTAATTAATACGAGATGGTTTTGCCTCACCTTTCCTCCAATCTGATTCCCGCATGCGCCTACTTGAAGATTGATGATCTCTCGCATCTTGATAATTTACTCGCTCCTTGGATTCAGATACTTGTAAATTTTCTCAAAAAATTATCGAAACAATTTTATCGAGTTGAAGCTTAACATTAACTTAAGACTAATAAAAAAAAATATAAAAAATCTAGAGCAACTTCACACTGCGCATCTTACGTCGGATTTCAGAAGAATGAACTTCAATGCCGATCGTCATTAAATCTAGAAATTCAAATTTGAAATTCTCGAAGTATTTTACTTTTCTGTACCTTTTTCCTATCAGAGAGGATTGTATAGATGTAAGATCTCATTCACACGAGCGTGTTTTCAAAGTTTAAGGCCGGTAATACACGTCAGATTTTTTCCGACAGTCCGACCCGATTGTCTGATCAGACAGTCTGAAGGCACTCGTGCCATAGGCCGGTAATACACGTCAGATTTTTTCATCCGACAGTCCGACCCGATTGTCTGATCAGACTGTCTGAAGGCACTCGTGTCATACATTTGTTTGAATACTTAATACACATCCGATCCTATAGTCGGATCGGACATCTGAGTCGGAAACAGCGCCAAGCCGTTTACGATTTTATTGCCGATCCGATTGTCTGAAGGTGGTCTCTGCATTCTTTTGCACAGAGACCAAATAGACGTCCGATTCCTTCTTCCGACATGCCAGATGACTCTCTAGCGTAACAATGAATGGACGCATTGCATCGTTGTAGTACGAACGATGGCGAAGAATTGCGACATCGAACGGCTTAGTATGGCCGTAGAAAAACATACTTGCTTATGGGATACAGGCAGCAGTGGCGTAGCGTGCCTTAGATGGGCCCTGTATCAAAATTTGTTGGGGGGCCCCAATGAAGAGTAAAGATTTCATAAAAGGAACAAAAACGCTTGCATTGAATTCAAATTATTATATATTGATTTTAAGTTATTCATCATCATCATTACAGTCCTTCACAAGTTCACTGCTGAACATAGGCCTCCCTCAAGGAATGCCACAAAGCACGGTCCTGAGCCACCTGCATCCATCGACTTCCTGCATATCTTACCAGGTCGTCACTCCATATAGTGGGGGGACGCCCTACACTTCGTCCGCCGGTACGAAGCAACCACTCGAGAACCTTTTTTCCCCATCGGTTGTCGGTTCTTCGAGCTATATGGTCGGCCCATTGCCACTTCAGCTTACTAATCCGTTGGGCTATGTCGATCACTCTGGTTCTACTGCAGATATCCTCATTTCTAAGTTTATCACGCAGAGAAACTCCGTGCCCTCTCCTTAGCTCGCTGAGCGACTTCCTCATCCGGCCAGCAGTGAAGGACCACGTCACAGTACCATAGGTCATCACTGGCAACACGCACTGGTTGTACAGTCTCGTTTTCAAGTTTTGAGGTATACCTGACGAGAAGATATGCCGTAATTTCCCGAACGCTGCCCAGCCGAGTTGAATCCATCGATTGACCTCTCAGTCGAAGTTGGACTTACCTAGTCGGACTATTTGTCCCAGGTAAACATACTCGTCAACAACTTCGAGCTTAGTGCTCCCAACAAATACTGGCATAGGTGTGACATGGACATTAAACATGATCTTTGTTTTGTCCATGTTCATCTTAAGACCTATCCGTTGGGAAACACTATCGAGGTCATTGAGCATAGTGCTTAGGTCCTCCAGCGATTCTGCCATAAGGACTATATCGTCGGCAAATCGAAGGTGGCCATTTGGCCACTGCCGCCATTGATGTTGATACCGTATCCTTTCCAGTCCAGAAGCTTGAAAACGTCTTCCAATGCAGCGGTAAAGAGTGTCGGGGATATGACGTCACCCTGTCTTACACCTCTCTGCAATTGGATAGGTTTCGTACTCTGGTTCTGTACTCGGATAGCCATCGTAGCCCTACTGTACAAGCACTTCAACACTTCGATACACCAACAGTCAACTTGGCATCGCTGAAGGGACTGCAGCACCGCCCAAATTTCGACGGAATCAAAGGCTTTCTTATAGTCCACATACGCCAGACATAGTGGCAAATTGTACTCCTCGGATTTCTGTACAATTTGTCGAAGGGTGTGTATGTGGTCTATGGTGCTAAAGGCTTTTCGGAAACAGGCTTGTTCGGGAGGCCGGAAGTCGTCAAGTCTGCGCGCGAGACGATTCGTAATGACTCTCGAAAACAACACGTAGACGCGGCTCAGAAGGGAAATCGGTCTGTAGTTCTTCAAGAGAGCGTTGTCACCTTTCTTGAAGAACAAGACCACCGCACTTCTGCTCCACGCCTCCGGTGTAATGCCACCATGGAGGACTTCAAGTACCGGTTTTCCACCCGCTTTCAGAAGCTCCGCTGTAATTCCATCCTCGCCTGGGGCCTTGCCGTTTTTAAGGTGCTGGAGAACCATTCTTATCTTGCTCAGACTGTCGTCTGGTATATCATCGGAATAGTGTCGGATAAAACTCGCTCTTGGATCGTTACTCACACTTACGTGTGGCTCCAAGGATGATATGTACAGCTACCCATAGAACCTCTCAATCTCACTCAAAATCTCAGGTGTCCCGGAATCGACGCTGCCACACTCGGTCTTCAGCTTCGACAGTTGGCTCTTTCTGGCAGACAGATCTCTAGCAAAGACTTTTGAGTCCTGGTTCCGCTCGATCGCTTCTTTAATACGAGCAGTATTAAAGTTGCGTAAGTCCCACCGCATGCATTTGAAGATCTGTCAGTTCAGTTGCCTGTATGCAGTTAAATCTACTGAAGACTGCAGCTTCATATCCCGTCTAACAGCCATGATATCAAGAGTGTAATCGGAGATTTTTTGTGTTCTTCTGCGGCGGGTCTTGCAAAACTTAGCTCCGACCGCATGGACAGTTTCCACGAGCTTGTCATTCATATCGTCTACTGCATTGCAATCTTCTAGGCACTGAAAACTGTTTCGTAGCTCAAACTGAAAGGTTTCGGGACTTTGGATTAGTGCACGAGGGGGACGGAGCGTTGACTTCATGAGACGTGACCTCTCCAACTCAACGGTTAGGTTCAGTGTGCCTCTCACCATTCGGTGATCGCTACCGGTTTTCACCCTCGCGATCACTGAGACATCACTGAACAGTTGTCGTCTGGTCGTCATAATGAACTCAATCTCATTTTTTGTCGAACCGTCGGGGCTCGACCAGGTCCACTTCCTGTGGGGCTGCTTCTGGACGAAAGAGTTCATCATAAAGAGTCCCTCTTTCACCATGAAGTCGGCCAGCTGCTGGCCCTTTGGGTTCTGTTGCCATAGTTGCCACGCTTGGCGAGCGGGTTGGCAACCGCAGTTTTTTTATTGTTGTTTTGCTGTTATCAGAATGATGCTGCTGCCCATCCTCTGCCTCAGTTTCCCTCTGTCGCCTTTTACGACACCCACGGGAAGATATAGGGTAGTGAGTGTTCTCCAGTGCCACCCGAGCCGCTACACGGGTTTTTGAGTTATTACTTACAATTAATACTCCTAGGAACTAAGCTAACCAAACAATTCAAATCAAATATACACTTTTCGTGCGTTTTGTTCGGCGAACACAGCTGAAGAAGATTCGGCTGCATTAATAGCTGAAGACGATTTCAGTTTTACTAAATTCTTTACTTCTATAGACAATAGTGATAGCCTTTCCTGTCCCATAGAAGTCCTTGGAATTTTTGCTCACACACGTTTGGGGCCCCTGTAGCCCGGGGGCCCCGTATCATTGATACGGCTGATACGGCGGTAGCTACGCCCCTGACAGGCAGTGAAGTTTATCACGATAGAGAGATGAAAGATTTGGCTTGGGAAGACGTGTGAAACGAAATATTGGAAGAAGAGCAAGATGTTTATGGGCCATAGTAACCACTTACCATCAGGTGGACTGTGTGCTCGTTTGTCACCCTAATGCTATAAAAAAGCTTTTGTTTCAATTTTTCTGATATTTTTTTTCTATAATAATTTTCATACAGTATATATTTGTTTAATTTATAAAGATTAAGATAATTAAGAGTGCTAACACGAGCAAATACGCAATAAGTAAGAGTAAATCGTCGTACATATTTTCTTTCTGCTCCGTATACTGTTTGCTTGAAAGAACAACTGAGTTCAGAAAAGTCTGGCGTAATAATCGGATGTGTATCGAGTAAATACGATCAGATAGTCTGATCAAACAATCGTAAACAAAATCTGACGTGAATTCCCAGCCTTAACACGCGGTATTCTTAATGGATGTTATACACGATCCAGTTTACCGTCAAGTTTGCAGCGCGCTTGAAGCGGCGTTCAGTGTACAGTACGGGTTGAGTTTGAAAGTAAGTCGTACAGTACGGGTTGACTTTGAAAGTAAGTGAATTTGAGGATTCTGTCACTGTGGGAGGGTCAAGGGGTTTATCTGAAGCACTACAGCTGAGGATACTGAGCAGCGTCGAAGTATTTTTAATAATTTTTTTAAAATATTGATAAATCACTAACTAAACGTGAAATGGAACGTAGATTTAACTAAATTCTAACGTTTTTGACGTTGCATCTGTCAAAGTCATTTCAAAATGCGTAAAATGAATCTGCGTTTCTGAGGATCTGCGATTAGAGGTGTACCCTGACAACATAAGTTCCGCTGAGGTTTTGGTGCCCCTAATTTAAAAAAAAAACATATAAAGGTAGGCACCAAGATTCATACAGATTTTTGGAAAGCATATGACTGCCTAGAGGAACATGGGTACACCCACAAAAAAGTGAACCACTTGGACCCTGACAATTCATTCATGGCACCAGACGGAACTCGTACTCAAAGAATAGAGTCACAATGAAGAGCCGTGAAACGTTTTTTTTTTTTGGCAGCGGAACACTTGCAAAATTTCGCAAAGATCCTTTTTTACAAATTATGGCAGCTATAAATTACGTTTATGAATAATTAAAGTAATTATAAAAGTTAATATTTTGGTATTTATTGAGTGCAAGAACGAGGTAAGCGAGTTGGGGCACCCCGACTCGGAGAGGTTATGTTCGTGGTTATTTTCTTATAAGCCACTCAGAA